ATGTCCATTTACTGTCCAGCAACGGATGGTTTAATGAGACCTTTTTTCGTTGCAGAACCTCATCGACATGGACTTGTTTGGGATTTGGAAAGGGCTATGCGAAGGGCTGGCAATGGAGTGGAGTATCCAGGGCATAATGAGGCCAAAAGGCGTCCAAGGGTCAGTGCTAAGGCTCCTTAAGTACGGGGTATATTCAATTATTGAGACAATTATCATTGTTGTGGACTTGTTGAGCACAGAGATAAGAGTTCTTTGATGGAGATCCTTTTAATGATATCCAAGGGTTACCAACGGATACTTACTGTGGCAGAGACCTAAGCCAAGTTTCTGTTGGAGTTCAGGCCGACTTATTATTTGATTGTTTTAGTCCAAAGAATATACAAACTTTTTCAATTTTAATTTCTGTTTGTAAAGATCGAGTTAGAGAACATAATGGATTAATGCTTTGATTTATATAGAAATATCCACTGCTTTCAGAACAAGAAAATGAACGCAAATAAAGATTTCTTTAGACGCACTCGTATAAAGAAATCTCTTATTTTTGAAAAACCATTATCAGAGCAAGCATTCCTTTAGAAAGAAGAGCGAATCGAACTTTGATTTGAGCCGCCATTATCCTGGCAAATCAACCCATGAAGCAAATACTTAAATATCAATTTATTACGTTGGCACCTCTCCCTTCGGATGGTATTTGTATATGTATCTGTGGCTGCAGTAGTATATTTAGCTCCCTCGTGCGACGGCAAAACAATAATCCATCATTTGCTTTGTGCATGACCGTGGCTGTGGCTGTCCTACGGCTGTCCGCTGGCATCATTAGTCAGTCCAGTGGCTCAGAGTCTGGAGTCTGTCTCCTTTCGATGGCAGAGGAACACCTGTCTGTCGGTGCGAGTCAGTCAGTGGCTTTGCCAGAGTATAGATGAGGGCCCTCTGCCCTCTAATTGCTTATAGAGTTATTAACCAATTTATAATGATTTTCGGGGGCAGCGGTTACCGAGGTAATTCGATAGCCCCGTTCTGCAGCGTTCTGATTCAGATGTTCAGGTGCGGAGGGGCATTCTGAATCTGAACCCGAAATGAACCCGATCCGAGGTAAAAATTGGTACAGATTTAGAGATCATTTTGGATTGATTCGGGGACCACCCAAAGCACTGCTTTAGATCTCTTAATTTGTCTGCTTTTTGTTAAGGAAAGTTCCATTGTATTCCATACACATATTCTATATAGTGCCTCATATTCGTTCCCTTTTAATGGGCACAATGGGTATATACAAAAATATATGATAATTTTTAGAGCTAATTAAAGGGGAAACCGTTAATCAAACCGTTTTTTGATACAAATGTAGAGAAAATTCCCAGTCTATACTATAGAAAAATTACTAGCAAAATTCATTGCACAGAGATTATTGAAAAAACTATTGATTTGCAGCTTCTAATGGTATGGCTTTTGCTTGAATAGGATTCCATATGATACATAACATTGGATTTTCTATTTGATCAGTCACTTTTCTTAGAACAATCCACAGATATCCATAAATTAAATATAAAATCAAAAATCTATGAGTAGTCGTTATGATACCACTTAGAAAGCACTATCATAGGGCTCTCCTGTTTATCATCGCCCATTTCTTCGGTAATTTCTGTTGTTGAAAGCAGTCCGATCACTAGCTAGTTCCTGGCAGCTGCAGGAACGCCGGAGCCGCACCACAGCCGCTCTGTGTGGAGTCCTCCGAGTAGCTGACGAAAATCACAGCCGTAAACGGGCTCCTGGCATCCGTAGAGGACTGCCCTTCTCTGCTTTTCCGCCTTCGCTCAGTGTCGATTGCCGCATCCTACAGCGGCTTCGTGGGATCCAGCGAGAAGACACCTATTAAGGAAGCAGTGCCAGTGGTTTGTCATTTCTCTGGTTGTGTTGCTGTGCCAGAGTATTCATACCAGATCCCCATCACAGATCCACGGAGGCGGAGTAGCTTCGAGTTGCAGGAAGCTTGGTGAGGGACCTGTATGTCAAATATTGTACTACCCTATGGATGGCTTAGTTGAATGAACTTACTCGGCAAAATTTGTTGCGCCTTCTTGTTCAGGCTGTAGGTCCCGCTCTCATCCGAGACTGGGCCCTCATCCTGTTGCATCCTTCTGCATTAAACAACAATTATCAAATCTATGCTTATTGTAAACAAATGCGATGCTATGCGTTGATCTGTCTGGCAACTCTGTGCGCACGGTCGTACAGCGATCTATCGACGCGCCTTGAATGCAGCTGCGTCTTCTATGGTGGTAACATCTACCGATTTTTTTTTTACTTTTTTGGTAATGGAATTTTTACAAAATATAAATAAATTTTTGGAAATGTGAATCTAAAACGTGTAATAGAGAAGAAAAACATCGGAACCCTTGCTTCTATCGATATCTCTAGTATCTGCTTTCAAGATGGGTGGCAGCTCTGAATGTAGAGCTAGTCAGTGTGCTTTTTTTATTTAGTTCGGGCTAGAAATACAAATCTACTATTCTGAGGAAGATTCTGATGTGGCCGCGTTTCCATAAGAATGATTCCGCGGGCAAGAAGATTGGCGAGAGCAGGGAAAAGCGCAAGAGACGGATACAACAATCCGTGGACGCCGACTTTACCAATGTAGACCAGCCCCCAAACTGTTCAAGTGGATGAAAACTACTACTACTGCCTGTGATGATGATGAAGGAGAATATGCCCCAAGGCAAGGACTTCACTGACGCCATGGAGAGTGAGAAACTCCAGGCGAGCGCGTGCCACACGAGTAGAACAAAGAGAATGCTTTAGAATGCAATTATAGGTAAGTACGCAACAATGTATCCGATTCCATCGATATATTAACTCTAGACCCCTTATTCCTAGGTGTATCTTCGCCAACAGAACCTACTCCTCAAACCCAAATCCCTGTCTCAATTTGCCAGCAGCAGCAGCCGTAAGGCAGTTCAAATGTCAAAGTCATTTACTAATGAAGCATGAAGAAAGGACAGGGAGTGAGCTAAAGATGTATGTACATACTCGTATGTAGAGAAAGACCTTCCCACAGTCCAACTCGTACGATCCCAATTCCATAACCATTCGTGGGTTCGCATGGAAAATGCGTTTGTTGTGCGCGGAAAATGGAAGCAAAAATTAACACACTTCAAATCGGGGCAAATCGGGCGAAACGGTGGTACCACAACCATTGTCACTGCCGCAAAGGGGGGCATGGCATGGCATGTGGCAGGGAATCGTCGTCCGTAGTCCGGAGACAGTGCAATAAATAAAGCGCAACGAAAGTGCGACATCAACGACAAAATAACAATCCTATAAATCACTTATTGCCAGCCAAATGGGCGATGGGAGTGGGGCGGCGATGGGCTATAGATACTGCGGGGGTGGGTGCATTACTGACTGATCCGTGTGGCATAGTGGGAGAGGAGCGGAGTCCTACGCTTGGCCATTGATAAATTGCTCTACGCTTGCACACACACACACATGGAAATGGCAACAAAACTAAAAACAATGATATAACCAATCCACAGCCAAGGATTATCCACACTTTTCAGTACAGTCGAAACAGGAGATACCCTGTATAAAGGGTATCTCGGATATTAACGGATCGGAGGCCTTTTTTTTGGCTTGGGGGCCAACCACTGGTCGACTTAGAAGGTGATGAGAGCGCTAATGGGTTCGACTCGCTTTCCGAGCCATCTGGAATCTGGAATCGGTGTCGGTGTCGGTGTCGTACTTCAGGAAAACATAGACTTGCCGTCTTCCAGAAATGGTGGAGGGAGAGACAACCGTAAACGTAAAAGGGATTCCACGGTCGGCCATCTGGTTGTTGACGAAGCGGGGCCTGAGGAGGCTGTTTGCTTCTGCGAAATCCTGCTGGAAGTCGTAGTACCCTGAGCAATAACAAAAGGGTATACAAAAGCAATGGCTCCGGCAGATACGCATTTTTTCATTTGCTAAATTGCATTGAAACTTAACTGAGATTTCAGCGTGGGGTGGTGGGTGGTGTTGGTTTTGGGGGTCTTAATTGACAGCAACAATTAAAAACGAAGGAGTCCGCCTGTGGCAGCATGATGCCGGTTCGAACTTGCGCAACAAGTGGCTGCCGAAATGTTGCCAGTCTTAAGGCTGCGCAACATTTCGAACTGCCGCCTCGCGTCGCTCTTGATCGGCAGTAGCACTACGGCACAGTGGAGCGCAATGGCAATATTTTTCATACAAATACAAATTCCCAATAGATACAAGTGCGCGTTGGTACATGGCTGGTTCGCAGTGACCTGTTTTTTCTCACAGAGTAGGCCTCATGGGTCCCCCCCCACACCTTTGTTCGTAGAGTTTTCACAAAACTTCTCTTGCAACAGAACTTTCAAGCAACGAAATTCGTGTCAGACTTTTATGAGCCGCAGTAATAAATGTTTCTAAACAAGTAAAGCTGACCTTGCCTGACATGACATGGTCTTTCCGCCTCCTCTTTCGCCCTCTCTTTCACTGTTCAGCGACTAACGGTTGCTCCACTGTGACGGCAGCGCTGCTCTCGCTCTCTGGCAACATTCGAGTGTAGCTGCTGTCGCTTTCGTCTCTGCTATTTTGTAGCTCGACAGCATGTTGCCGCTCCCACTTGAAACGCAAAACTGAGTAGCAGCTCTCTTCGTCTTGATCGAACTTGCTAAGAAAACTTGAATCTCGACTCGAACCTCTGGGCCATGTTAAGGTATGGACAACGTGGAAAAAAGGCCCAGCAACACTACAAGATGGTACGAATATCACCACACCGTCTTGGATTGGCAATGTGATGTAAAGGTTTACAAGCCTTGTCCACGTTACCCTGATGTCCGTACACTTCTTTTTCATGGCAACATCCATGCTGTAGCTACATGTGGCCGAGCAACATTTCAGGCACCGGCAACATCTGCGGGCGGGCGTATTTGAAAGAAACGGCCTTGCCGCCTCAATCTTTGAAATTTGTAACGGCACAAGCAAAACGACCGCGGCCACCGAAACAACATTAATATTGTGGCGCCTCTCTTGTGGCATGCGTTCTGAGAAAGTTCCGTTTGCGTTACGATTTGGAAATAATATATCCAGCTCATAAAAATATCAACGATATTAATATAAACAATTTCCGGAATTTTACCTCTCCCTCTCTCCACCGGTCCCGCGTTCGCGCCTCTGCCGTCGCGTTCGTGTGTGTGCGAGTGAGTGTCGCGTACCGCACACAGTGTGTGCATGTGTGAAACAGTTAAAACAATTACAACAAAATTGGTAATAAAATAAAATACAAAAAACCATGAAAATTCCTCGAGAGTTCCCTATTTTTTAGGCCAAAAATAAACGCTGGTGGCATTTCTGTTGCTGTTTTTTTTTGTGACAAATACTAAAGTGTATCTCCCTCTCTGTCTCACGCACGCTTTTCGCTGTTGGCATGTTTGCACAATTATTATTATGGGTGTTGAGTCACGTGCCCCGCAGTAGCTTAATTTTTTTTTATCAGTTTTTTGGTGTCAGGAAAATCGGTTATGTTATTGTTATGCTATGCTTTGGAAAAATGTGCATTCAAAACGCAGAGAAAAACCTTCGAACAACAACAAAAATTACCCAAGAAAAACACAAAAAACACAAATAATAAAAAAACAGGTTTGGGCCCGGTCCGCGCGCCGCTTCTGACGCCGCCGTCCGACACACACACCTATACCGCTTTTGTTAGTGTTTTGTTGCTTTGTTTTTTTCCAACTTTTTGTTGAGTCACACACTGGGCGCTAAAAGTCAGTCAACTGGCATTTGGAGGCAATCGTTAGGGAAGGACGAAAAGCTATAAATAAAGTGAACTTTTTAAGAAATATTTATACAAGCCGAACTTAGTAGTTCCCATGGTACTTTCACTGAAATAATATTCAAATTCGTTTGTTCTACGAGTAGTAGAATCTGACTGGAAGGAAGTATTTCGCAAACGAAAACGTCGTTAAAACCGTAGTTTCTATGGCCTTTTTGCTGAAATCGTTTTTTTTGTTTCTTTCAATATTCAGCAGATAGGGCAGAATACAAAGAAAACCGACAGAAGAAGTATTCCGAAACCCAATGCCCTGAAGATTAAGGGAAATATTATTAAAATTAAAATTCCAATGGTGATTCCAATTCAATTCGTAAAATATAAGGTCTTTTAGAGAAATCTTAATTAAATTGTGTAGACAGTTGCTATAGAGTAGAAAACGAAGTCATTTAACAGATGAAGTATCCCAATAGGCAATACCTCTTTGAACCACTGAGTAGATTGTGGTGGAAGTGGTAGTGCAATTTAAAATATAAATCGATATTTATTTAATCAATTTGTGTTTTAGTGCCGTAGTTTGAGGGAAGCCTCTTCAAAGCCACAGTTTTTATGTTATTTTTGCTGAAATTCTGAACAAATTCACTTAATTGTATATTGGAAAAGGTAGCAGCAGATTGTACGAGAAGTACAATCCAAAAACGTTTTATTTAATCCAAAACATTCATATAAAAAGTACAAGTAAATACATACATACATATGTACATATACACGTTTAATTGAAGAGGTCTCGAGCTATGTATGTATGTATGTTGCTTGGAAACTTGTTCCGCTATCATTTTGACGAACAAGGGACGAATTATTCCCTAAAGGGAAAATTACGTAGCATAGTATTTAAAAAGAATAATTAATATTGCAACTAATATTCTGGTTGATTTTTATGGTTTTTTTATTAAATAATTAAATGAAAAAAATTATAATACAAACCATCAAAAAGATCTACAAATCCATTGAAATATATTCTTAAATTTGATACTATGAAAATTAGTATTAAATCATAATTTAGTGAAGTCTTCAAAGTTTCGTTTATGAAATATTTTGATCATAAACGCCTCAAATAAAGGAAAGATTAATGTATCTTTAAGGAATCCGTTGTTTAAGTTTAAGTATCCAATTTCTGCCTAAAAAAAAAGTAGAACAATTTTTAAAATTTGAAAGAAATATTTCAAAATAGATTTGAAGAAAAACCCACTTTTGGATCCATGAATTCCACTGGATATTTCTTCTGCCTAGAATCTGAGAGATTTTTTGATTTATATTTGATACAGACATCTATAAGGGATAGTTATTCAAAAACCAAACTGAAATTTCTTTTCACCGATACAAAAAATTCCAATCATTTTATTTTTCCTATCAATTTCAGTAATCTGAACTGTAGCAAGGGATATCCCGTGATATCTCGAGATATCTGAGATATCCGCTGTTGATGATGATGATGGAAATTGTTCCATTATCATTGTCATGCCCCTACCGAAGAGTCCTGATTCTCCGTTGTGTGCAAAACTTTTACTTGTATCCTTTTTTTCCCCGCAACTAATTCGATATATGAATATGAGGGCAAGAGAACCTCAACCGCAGGACTCCTGCATCGTGCAATTCCTGCAACGAAGGAGCAGCAGCACTGCCAAAACTTGTGTGTGCTCCACACACACACACTGGAGGGATAGGCGGCGGCATGGGGCGGCGGCATATCATCCAATTTTCAAATCAAATTTGTGCCTTTTCTGTGCAGCACTAAAATGTTTCCAAACTTCCCAAATGTGATTTTTCTTATTTAATGACGAGAAAAAGAAGGGAAAACTGTCGTTGAATGTTGCCGTTGCCTCAATGTTAATCTTTTTTACAAATTTCTTGCAACTTTTTGATGCAACAAGCAATTAAATTATAGGTTCTTTTCGGTTTGAGCTCCATTTCAATTAGGATCTTAACATTCTATTAATCTTTTATTGTGGGGGAAAACATTGCGAAAATGAATTATAATTTCTGGATTTTTAGAACAAAGTTATTATGGAATATTAGTAGCAAAAGGCTCAACAAAATTTTATTTCGGATGTTTTTTAATTTTCCTGAAATTTCGAGTTTCATAAAAGTGTAAAATGCTACCCATAGAGCTTTATGTATGTATTCAATGCATTTTCGGGTAGAACCCTAATTCCCTTAGAATGATTTCAATGAAATTTTGACACTGCAAGAATTTGGCTTGGACCATGAAAACATTGTCGCGCGTCATGTTGCAAAGTCGCCTCTTGTTCTGCCATTCGCGGTTAACAAACTTCGGCTTGGGGCCATGTTTATGATAATATTTGAACTAGAGAGCAAGCACACTGAACGGGATAGAGTGTGAGATAGAGAGAGAAAGAATGAGTAAGTCGTAGAAGGCGACCTGATCCGACCTGATCCAGTTTCCGGCAATCTTAATTCAGTGTTATATCATAGGAGCCGGCACACAGAATAATTTTGCTCTAGCTCTTACAGTCTCTGAGAACTAGGTGTCAAACAAGACGGACGGACAGACATGGCTCAATCGACTTGGCAATCGATGCTGATCAAGAATATACATATATACTTTAAGGGGTCGAAAACGCTTCCTTCTGCGTGTTACACGCATCTACTTTCATCACAAGTCTAATATACCCCTATATTCTTCGAGTAAGGGTTACCTCTTCTTATTTCAAAGTCTTCAAAAAAGTCAAGAATCCAATAATTTGAAATCCGCGTTAATAATTCTCAAATATCAAGGGAAAAGTTTTCAACTTTAATGAACAGACTTTGCACCCCTCCCCACCACGCTGTATTCTGTGACAAAAGTTTCCCCTTTTCTTAATTAGCGGTATATATTATTTTTTTGTTTACTTTGTGAATATTTTGTAATATTTCGTAATTTTCAAGCGTTAGAAGGGAACCCCGTCTTTTGAGCGGTGCCTAGGCCTGCCCCAAGTATCGATTGAACGGGTCCTCAAGTAACAAGGCTAAATAAAAATATCGATTGGCCGCTCCAGCAACGGCAGACACACCTTTTGAGGGAGGAGGAGATGGAGTAAGGGGCACCTGTTCCCCGCTCTCTTTCCACAAGGACAACTCTAATGAGTGGGAGAGAGCGAGAGAATCAAAGCCGCCTTATCGCCAAACAGACAGCAAACAAAGCCGCTAATCGAAGGTGCGCTCTCTCCCGCTTTCGATAAGCGCGAGTGAGAGAGGGCACCAGCAACAGATAACAGATAAAGATCAAGATAGAGAGAGAAATAAAGAAAATATAATTTATTGGAAATTGTATATTTTTTTATTAAGAGAAAAAATGCCAAAACATTTTTACTGTTTAAATATGCGCTGCAGGTCTCTAGCTCCTACCCTTATTATCCCCTTCCTCTGCCGCTTCCCGTGCGACGTGTTTCGACTGCAGAGAGTAATTTCCGTTACAAAACTGGCCGAAGTGGCAGCGACGCCGACGTCAAAAAAGAACAGACAGGCCATAGCAGAGGCAGAAGTAGAAGCAGCGCGCGGCGTCAGCGACTGCAAAGAACAAAATTGCAGCGTATATTGTATATGAACCTGAATATGAGCGTGAGGCATTTCCAGTGCACTTTTGGAGCGTTTAAGCAGTGCCTCACCCTTGTATGGCATGGTACCTTGGAAGAAACCTGCTGCCAAGACAAAGCACACACGAACACACACACACACACACTCACACACATGTGTGGACAAGTTATTCTCTTCTTTGACTGCTGTTGCGGTCGCTGTCGGCGCTGCTGCTATCTCGCTCTCTGCAATCGAATTGCTCGTGTGTGACGCAGCGTTAATCCCCGCGTCCCTCCCTCATACATTTATAGAAGTTAAAAGGCCAACATTTGGCATTTGGTAAAAACCTAACACTGCGTTTTGCATCTTTTAAAATATCAAATGATTTGTCACTGCTTAACCCTTGGCTCTTGCTTCTCTCTCTCACTCTCTTTTGTTTCTTGCAGATCCACACGCAACAACAAAATCCACATTAACAGAAAAAACTGTAATTTTTTCAACATTTTTTTTCCTGTGGAGCCAAAAATTTGACTAAACGTTGTGCTAGCGAACAAAAAAACAAGGAAAACAAGTGGAAGGGACACCGAAGAAGAACAAGAAGGAAGAAAGAACAACAAAATGGGAGAACCTCTGCGGACGCCGTCTCTGCCCCTTGTCTGGGCAACGCTGCTGCTGTGCAGCTGCTCGCTAATAGGTGAGTAAATACGTTCCACAAATGGACTTGCAGTCCACACATATTCCCGCCATTTATAATTAGAAGTTGAAGTTACACCAGCAAAAAAAAAAACATGCAACAAACGATTACGCTTAAATTGTTTGGGTTTTTCTTTGATTTCATTCAAATTCCACTCAAATCTACATTATGATGATCTACATATGTATATGAACACAGCGAATATACACAGACACCTCCTGTGACTCTTTTCATTAAACAATCGCAATGAAACTTGACTGAACAATGGATAAATTACAAAGTATACAATACCTAGAAGTCGAGAATTTTCCATCACAAGTGATAAAGATATATCATTTGGAAACTGGAAACCTGGCCAAAATACTAGTCACTCTCTTATCAGCATTTTATTCTTGCACGATTTGGGTGTTTATTTAAAGTAACAGACAGATGGAAGGACGGGCTATAATCCGCACAAATTGCCCGAGGTGTACCTGAGCATTTTCTCGTTACCTGATTGTCTGATTGCCGCATGCCGCATGCCGCCTGACCGTGAGGCAAACGCTACGCAAATACTGACCTAGCGTAGTCGTATCCCAAAACAACATCCCAAATGCAGAAAAAACACCCAGAAATATGTATAATGAAATCCCACCTTATCGCAATCTCAAACGAAAATTCTATAGTCAATATTTGTCTAAGCTGCGAGGCTCTGGAGAGAGATGCGCTACTCGTAGGAATCGTAAGTTTTTTGGGGGAATTACAGACAGAACACGGATACAATTTACAGACACAATTTGAAAGTCAGGCAAGGCATCACCTGACTGGCGGTCTCATAAAAACAAACACGAAGCGCTGGACAAACACATGATTCTAAAGATTGCGCAACAAGCGAGAGATGTTGCCATGGGAGAAAATTAGATCTCACATTTATGGAACCCCCAGAAACAGATTTCACATTCGTGGAACCTACCCAGACCTCATGTCGTACCTTAAACTGAAAACCACAGAGATTAAGATACTACTCCAAAACTACTTTTCATGATAATAGCGGAGGAACTAGAGAATATGGCACCAGGAATACATTGAAACAAACAGAAGGTGATAAGTATTGGAATACACTCTTGAAACGATTGCCTCAGTGCTGTTAAGGAGGTTTAAAAGCTGGGGGACACCTTAAGTGGGCATCCTTATGGGATTCTTATTTCGAATGGACATGTAGATACCGCTTATCTTTAAATATTGATCAATTGCCACGTCAAACGATCCCCATAGTAGGTGCCGCCAGTTATGCAAAAACCCCCAAAGGGCCTGCGCTGCAGCTCCTGTATGTGGCCTGGTCGATAGACCAGGATTATTGCAGAGAAAACAATGCTGTCAACAATTCTGTCTTGGTTTGGAGTCACCGTTTGCGGCACATAGAGAATATCGTGTGATCACGGACGAGAGGGATTGAAAGTCGCCAGGCCAAAGAAAGCATTAGAATCATCAAAGAACTGGAGGGCGAATGATGACTCGTCTGCCGCTGCCCTGAGACCCACTTTCTCCCGTCTGTAGAGGGGTGCAGTAACTTCTCTCAGAGAAAAACAGACTTCCCAAGCAATTAACGCATCCGGTTTTTTAGAGGGGAGGGGGGGGGGGGGGGGGGGGGGGAGGAAACAGACCTCAGACTCCACACTTTTTGGGAGTTTCTAAAAACAGCAACAAAGTTAAAATTAATTAACGCTGATGTTTGCCCCCCTTTCTGTGGGATTTAGAGACGAGGAAGAAAAAGAACTTGCCACGAAGAGAAAAGCCAGCGTCATGGAATCATGACTCACAGAGAGGAAGAGCCGATCAATGCGTGCATTTTCTCCAGCCACAAAACAAAGAGGGAATTAAGGCTTTCAGTTAGAGAAGGTTTGAACGATCGACAAAAACATCCAGAGGATGGGCGGTAACCTTTGGGCGTGTTTTTCCCTCCAAAAGTCTTAGCTGTAGGGAAGAATCTTCTTTCTTTTGAAAACCTGCCACCTTTAAAGTTTTGCGTCGTTCGAGAGTGTCTCTCGGTTTGAGTTTCGTACTGGAATTCCGCGATGGACTTTAAAGATCTGTATTTTACAGAAATTCTCCTCTCTTTTGTGGTCTTTCTCAGAGCTCTCTCTCTCACTTTGCTCCAATTGATGGCCTGCTGTCTTTCTCAAGAAGTGGAGCCTTTGTTTTGATGTTTTCTCTTGCAATTTTCTTGGAGGAAAGCAGTCTTTGTTCGACAGCAGCAACAGAAGAGCAACAGAGGCCAGAAGGAGGGCTGCACGCCTGCCCGCCTGCCTGCCTGCCTGCCAAGAAGGAGAGTGCCTCATCGAGGGGACAGTCCCTAATTAGCAAAAGCCACCGAAAAACCAGCTTAATTTGTGAGGCGCTTTTCTCCAGAGAAGGAGTGTAAAAAGGATTGACGTCTGTCTGACAGGAAAATTGTCAGTTAGTCATAGTATATACATAGTTAATGGATGGCGCTTCTACCGCCTCTCTCCATTCACTGTCACATTTTTTAATGCTCGCCACAGTGCGTTTCGTGGGTATAAAAATGGGGACAGCTTTTGGAGAAATGGGGACTGTAAAAATAAATTGGAAGTTTAATGGAATTTTTAGTAAATTTTAAAAGAAATTCTGAGATGTTTTTTTAGTTTCCTGTAAAGATCTAGTCCTATATGTATGTCCTCTCAAGATCCAAGTATTTATAGACTTATGGCACGCACTGTACTTGCGCGTGAAGTCTTTTGCAATACAGTCCACATGATGATGATGTTCCCTGTTCCGAAATCTTCTGCTGCCCATCTCTCAATTCCAGTTTCCAGTTCTCAAGAAACAGACTCCCTCTCCCTCTCTCTGTCTTAAGTGGGGAATCTCTCAGGTGCAAGAGACAGGGAGAGAGAGAGGTAGAGTCAGAGTCAGAGTCAGAGTCAGTGAGTGGACAAGCGGTGGGGCAAGAAACCTCTTGAGTTTCTTCACAGTTGTGTGCCACTTGACAACAAGACACAACGAACGATGTGCAAGACACACAGAAGCAGTATACAAAATAAGAGAGTAAGAGTCAGAGAGAGACAGAGAGAGCTTGAGAATGAAGGGGGTACAAGAAAACGAAGCAACAGGAAAAAGGAAATTCCAATTATGTTGAAAAAAAATAAAATAAAATACAAAAAAAAAAAAACGTCTGCGGATTTTGTGCGTAGAAAACGAAGAAAGAAATGGTTGCTTCTTGTTTCTCTCTATCGCATCGCTCCTGCTCTCTTTAGGCCACTCCGTTCTTCTGCAGTTGCCTCTTCTCTCTCCCCCCTTTCATCCTCTATTTTCGCTTTGTTCTGCAATGTTCTTCCGCTTCTGTTCTGCGATTTGTTAAAAAATACCCTTCCGCTTGGACAGTGCATCTTGAATTTCCGATCCATAAAAATATACATACATACATACATATGTATGTATATTTATGATCTGGACCAAAAGAAGCTTAAATATGGCAAAATATTTTTAAATAATACGATTCTTCTGGAGCTAAGAAAATAATGCAGGGAACCATATATCTAGATAAATCTTTGTGATTGAAAATTCTCGCTTTCTCGATAATATAACTCATGTTTCATTAAGATTGTATAATAAAAATACATGAAGGTGGTTCTGAAAAGAAGGAATAGATTTGAAGACTTCTTTAAAGACTCTCTTTCCACTGCAGTTTCCAAGGAAGTTCCCTTCGAAATTTGAAAGTATATTCCCTAAAGGTTCATACAATACTAAAACAAACCGAATCCCTAATTTTGTGGATATACCTTATAGATTTTGAGACATTTTCGTGGAAACATTCAATCAAAATATATTCTATCGGATGCCTTTTGTTAAGAGTATCTTTATCTTCGTCTATCAAATATGCTAATCTTTTCTACTTGTTTTAATTTTAATCCAAGTAAACCCCCTCCTCCTCCTCGTCCTCGTCCTCGTCCTCGTCCCCGTCCCCGTCCCCTCCCCATCCCAGTTCTATCCGTTGGCTCAAAAGAGCTTTGCATTCTCTTTAATTAATAAAACAAAACATTTTTGGATTAAGCGCCGCACCGCGGTAGGAAAACAAAAGCAGGACTCAAGTGCCTTCCTGGCCCCCACAGGCGGGACAGCCAGAAGATACATTTGTATCTTTGTGTCTGTAGCATCTTTATCTCAATGCCCGTCTTGATTTTTAGAAAGAGAGGGCCCGATCCAAAATGAGTCTTTTTCCTAATTAACAAATTTACTGCGCTCCTCATCGAAGGGGGGTGGGAGGGAAAGGGAAATGGAAACATTTCAGTGAGAAATTTCCTCCTGCAGGAAAACTGTTGGCCAAACGAGGCAGGCGGAGTGGGATGGCTTTTCCATGTCCCATTTAAGCTTCATATATTGATTACATTTGCATTCCAGTCGCAGATTCCAGGCAGAAGTGCAGCCCCAGCGACCGAGGAGTGCTGCTGCATGGCGCGTAAAAAGTGCAAAGGAATAAAAATCGATTCAATTTAGGAGAAAACTACACTAAAATATGTTAGTGTGGCTGCTGATAGAAACATTAGATCTCCTTCTCGTTAGACTGAAATCAAATCAGCATCGAAGTTGAGGCTTTCACGCTTAGACAGCGCTTAAATGATCTGTGCCACTGGTGCAGAAAGAAAGAGAGAGAGAGCGAGCGACAGGGAGTGAGGGGAGGACGAAGGGGGCTAGAGAGAGTGAAAGAGCGACTGAGAGATACCATAATTATCGAATAAGAGGGAAAACACGAGAAATGAGAAAAAGAATTGAATTGAATTTGTGTGAACAATCAACCACAGAGAGTGACAGAGAGAGAGGAGGGGAAATGCACTGGCGCCCGCGGGGCAGTGACGGGTTAAGCCCGCATAATCCCCCACGCCCGGGAGGCGCAAAACAATGGGACAGAGGGAGAGACAATGAAGGAAAGTCGGAGTGAGGAATAGATAGAAAGAGAGAGCGAAGAGACGCCTAAAGAAATTTTCTTTTTCTTTCTCGTTTTCCCA